TGGAGAGAGAGACAGAAGGGTGGCTGGCTACAAGAAGACAAGAGGTAAAATACTACACAGCACAATCGATTAGAAGATGAATGTGCTACTTTGTTGTTGGGCATTTGGGGAGCTGCAGCTGCTTCAACCGTCAAGATTGTATCAATCAAGATGGCCTTTTGTTATGGCTGAGGGGAAGAGAGCCCTGTAGTCTGACTAAGAATGTATGGACATAATACAAAACAAAAACAATTGTTTCTAGAGGCCCTGACCCACCAGCCTTCCAAGGTTCTACACAATGTCCAGACTCAATAACGTCACAGTGTCTATTGATCTTGTGTTGTCTGTCGTTCAGACATATTTTACTCTGCTGATAATTGTTAATGTCGTTGAATCAAGATTCAAAACTCAAGTTAAACTGCCAGATACAAGATGGTGAAGAACTTTACAGCTTGAAAAAAGGCTTTAAAAAAGGCTTTAAAAAGCAGTGCTTCACTTTTTATTTTAAAACAGTGGGACATTGTGGGTTGAACTGAGATTTAATGGCGATCCATTGCATCCTCTATCCCTCTGAGTTGTTGAGTTTGTCAGGAAGGGCTTTACCTCCAGTGTGCATGGGAATGAGGACATGCCATGGGTTAGGACCCCAGAGGCAGCGGGCAGGCAGCACTTCAGACACCTCTTTGAGAGCCGTTGGCACAGCATGAAAGAAAATACAGTCTCGGGCAGTGCCAGTGAAGATAACGGTTGTGAATGCCACAGTGGCTTTTCTGTTCCTTTTAAGGTAAAATGTGCTTCTTTGATAATGGATGTAGTCTGGATTTATTCCAATAAAAAGTTATTAATATGTTTATCCTCTCCAAGTTGTCACAATAACCATTTGTTTAAGAGAACTACCACCATAATTGTGGTTAACGATTGCCTTGAAATATTTTTTGATAAGCCCTTTATTTATCTTGGAGGGTGTGCACTTAGTACCTTTCTGAAGGAGTAAGAAGAAAACATGGCTAGACAAGGCACTTGAAATATAGATTGCAATTTTTGAAGGGCTGAAACAATACATTGAATTCAGTGGTTGCTCTTTCAGTTATCAAGAACATGGGCCAATGTTGAAATTCAGCAGAGGCACAAGCTTAAAGTCTGAAACTCCAAGTGAACAAATAGTTCTGACAGTGAAAATTTGGGAAGGCAAGCATTCTTACAAGCAACTGCTGCAAGAATCTAATCAAAACCCTCTCCTGATTGCCAAGGTTCCACTTTTGTTGTATCCACTGACATAACCATCAAATAACTGCTCACGTTCAAGAAATGGGAGGGTTGTGTCTGATAAGCAGGCTAGCTGCCTATTGTTTCCTGCATCAGCTGGCCTGGACCCATGGTCCCTGAGTGTCAGGTGGGGTGAGTTTACAGAGGAAGTAGTGACATGGGCCAATCCTCCAGGGGAAAGGTGGCTGACGCACTCTCCAGCTCTTTAACCCCCTTGTAGAGCAACTAAACAGTCACACCCCAGCTCTTTAACCCACCAGCTCTTGTAGAGCAACTAAACAGTCACTCTCCAGCTCTTTAACCCACCAGCCCTTATAGGGCAACTAAACAGTCACTCTCCAGCTCTTTAACCCACCAGCCCTTATAGGGCAACTAAACAGTCACTTTCCATCTCTTTAACCCACCAGCCCTTATAGGGCAACTAAACAGTCACTCTCCATCTCTTTAACCCACCAGCCCTTATAGGGCAACTAAACAGTCACTCTCCATCTCTTTAACCCCCCAGCCCTTGTAGAGCAACTTAACAGTCACCTCGAAGCTCTGACCATAGAATACTTAAAATGACAGTTTCACATTGATCAGAAACCCAGTTCTAATATTCATAACAGCAACTTATCTCTTGAAGTGAACATTTGTAATGCAGATTTTAAGTGGAGAATCCACAATTGGGGCCTCCCGAGTGGCGCAGCGGTCTAAGGCACTGCATCGCAGTGCTAGGACGTCACTACAGACCCGGGTTTGATCCCAGGCTGTGTCGCAGCCGGCCACGACAGGGAGACCCATGAGGCGGCGCACAATTGGCCCAGTGTCGTCAGGGTTAGGGGAGGGTTTGGCCGTGCTCTAGCGACTCCTGTGGCAGGCTGGGCGCCTGCATGCTGACTTCGGTCGCCAGTTGTACAGTGTTTCCTCTGACACATTGGTGCGGCTGGCTTCCGGGTTAAGCGAGCAATGTGTCAAGAAGCAGTGCGGCTTGGCAGGGTCGTGTTTCAGAGGACGCATGGCTCTCGACCTTCGCCTCTCCCGAGTCCGTACGGGAGTTGCAGTGATTGGACAAGACTGTAACTACCAATTGGATATCACGAAAAATGGGTAAAAAGTACACACAAAAAAAACATATGTGTTCCTTTCCACCAACAGCCCTAACAGCCTAATGATAACAGCGTGACCTCACAAGCAACGATAAAAAAATATTTCTGAAACATTTGGCTCTCATGTTCCATGCCAACCAAGGTCATTGATTGGACGTCATTTTAAATAGAAGCTGTAATAAACAAGCCCTTTGCTCCTCAAGGTACCACATATTTTGATTATTTCAAGCTGTTTATGGTTTAGTCATGCTTCTCTTATCCCATTCTGGCTTGTGACAGCTAGCCGTTATTCCCTCAGTTGACATCTGGGCTTCTTCAATTCAATTAAAATAATTTGATCTAATCTCACTTTTGTCTTAATCATAAACATCATTATCTGCTTGGCAGTCCCTGGAACAAAAAAGTGACACACCGAATTCAGAAAGAGGGTACGGTTGTGGACAGCACCTGTTAAATCCCATATCAGGTCACCCCTTTTTTCCAACTTCACTGCTTCTTAGCCTTAGCTGCTGGTAACCTGTCATGCGGAAAAGGGACACATCTTATTATGTGATTAACATTTGATCTCAGAGTCAGGTGTCTGAATGACTCCATTCTCCCCCTATAGTGAGCTCCCCTCTGAGTGGGGTAAGGTTCGCCCTCAAAAGTGACAAAGTGTGTTGTAGGTGCTCCTCTGACGCAAGCAAACCATTTAGTTGTAGTGTCTGGTGTCACAGGGACGCATAGCAACGCAAATGCTGCCTATAAATAGATCTCCGCGTCTGTGCTATTTTGAACCAAGTCAAACAGGAGAGTTCAACTTCCTTTTACCTTTGGGAATTTTTGTATTGAAAGGTAGAAAGTATTGATTCTGTTGGCCAACTGAGCACTGTTATGCAGATTATTTGGACTTCAATATATATAGTGGAAGAAACGGTGGAAGTGATTTCTCAGCTGTCAAAGCATACAGTGATGTCACCTTTGGCAGCTACATAATTTGATCCTGACAGAGGTACAACACAACAACAAATGGTTAATAAATTAATATTAGAAAAAAGATTAAGTAGTTATTAATACTGTAACTTATTTATATAATATATAAACAATATTTCTTAGCTTTATCACAAACACATTTCATTCACTGGAAATGAATGAAATGTAATCATAGGCAAACCTGCCCTCAGCACAGTTTAAACAATCAACAAATGGCAGAACAAGTGCATAAGGTTGAATACACAATGGGACCCCAGGATAAGGAATTGGACCTACTGGTGTATGTCATGAGAAAGACACACTTCCTTCAGTTCAGTATTGAATGTTCAAGTCACACCACTTAACTGCTTTTAGCAGTAATGCTCTACTCTTTCTTCTTTGACAAATACAATAAGTGAGACACATTCTATTACGTAATTTCTGTCATAAAAACCCAAAGCTGAAATAGACCATGTGCAGTTGTGTAAAACAGAAAGATCATTTCATTTGGTATGTCAAGCTAATAGCTGATATGAGCCAGACTGTCTCATGGAACACTTCGACTTCTCCCTTATATATCAGCTGTTCTCTTCAGAATACACACATGCTGAACCTTTGGATCATGAAAACAGACACAAATTAAATGTTTAAATATGGATGAGAGTTTATTAAACCTCACTATAACCTATTAACAATTGATGTACTGTTAACAGAGAAGTCATACAAATGATTATATTAAAGTGGAATAAAATACTAAACCATTTCATATCTTTCAATATATGAAATACATTTACTGACAATGGCAAGTACTGCAAGTACTAACAACAAGTGGCAAGATGCAAGATGCTAGTAATTCCAAAGAATCTTGTCATCATAGTTACATAGAACACCATGTTAGTCATGGTTTGGAACAAAGTGCTTACAGAGAATACTTAATAAAGGTTAACTCGATGTAAGTTACATTTCGTCAATAATCATATTCCTTCATAATGCAATACTACCTATATCATCCTAAGTACATGTACTATATATAATTACTGTGTGACATCTAATTGACTTTATCTCTGAGCTCGACTTGTTTAATAGAATACGACAATAGACATCAAACAAAAACAAAACGTTTTTGTGTCCCGATAATGCCAATATATATCATTACATATGAACATGTAAGTACCATATTCCCATGTCAGGTAATTGAACATAATTCTGTGTGAGATGAAAAGGAACAATCAGACTTTATGTCAGCTGTATCTTTAAAACATGGTAAATGAAGCAGGATTCATTGTTCTGGATTTTCCCATGTCCCTCTCCTTTCAGACCACAGTCCCTCCCAGTAAATCTAAGCCACCAAATGCAACAGTAGATTAATGGGAAACATCCTCTCCATTGCTTTGTACAGTGGTAATTTGTTTTAATTCTGATACATTCAGTTTGGCTGTCTGCCCAGCTTCCCAGATGTGGCCAGTCTGTTTGACAGATAAAACCCCAACAACTTCATGAAAGCTAAGATGTTTTGGCTTGCTTAGCCTGTAGACAGTCTGTGGTCAAAGCCTTGCAGGTCAACGACCCACCACATAGACATTGGTCGGCCATGAAAACATCTGGATACAGCTGTCTCCACTCCCGAATGCTTTCAAATTAACCACTACCTCAAGTTCCTCTCGCACCCAAACATATTACCGATGTATTTTCTCTCCTGATGATCAGTCTTTCCCTTCATGCAAAGATGCTCCTCTGGTTTGCGACCAGTGCAGTTTGGCTTTCCCTCCGCCTCTCCTTTTTTCTCTCAAGTCTCATCTTCCAGCATACTGCACTTAACGCCAATAGCACCAGTCCAGCAGATAGTAGCACCAGCCCAAAGTAGGAGATGGTGGAGCCATGTGAGTTGAAGCTGTAGGCCACAGAAGTGACCACGATACCGGCAATGAGAATGACCACGCCAAATGGCACTGTGCAACGATAGCAGGAGAGTTCTGCACCACCTGTGGCCGCATTCAGTTGGATTTCAGTGACCAAAGGGATAGCTACTATAGTCACAGTCGGAGTGTGGTCATTGATGTTGGCCTTCTCCACGACGGCTCTTTCTGGGGCTGCTGGCACTGTCATGGTGTCTTTACTGGGTTCCTCTGGCATCGCAGGATCCAGCATCAAGGTTTTGCTTCTTTCAAACCACAGATGGGTCCTCACTTTAACCACAGATGGATCCTCACTTTTTATATCCTGAGGTTGTTATGTCAGCGTGTCCCAATCTATGTGAAGAAATATATAATTTGTTATGTCATACTGAAGGGAGTCTCAAAATCCATATGTTCCTCAACATGTTGCCCAATTGTAACCTCACTGGACATAATAAAATAGGCCTTAACAATCATTTAAGTAGCTATTATGTGCATGCAGATTGCCTCAGTCGGAACTGTTGACAGCTTAAGACATAAGCCTTTATTTGGCACTTAGTAACTCCAGGCAACCTCCTTGCACAATGCTAGTCTTTGGCCCAGCAAAGTCAGAAATTGGCTGAATGACGCAGAACCACTCAACCTTGCACGAGCTGTCACATTCCCTGGAGAGCGTGGGAGATGGCATTACAAACTACTCCATGAAATGTGAGCAGCCCCAAAATGATCAGCAATTTCACAAGCAGTCATTCTTTCTCCATGTCTGCAAACTTTGCAAATATAATTTAAAAATTAATTCCAGCTGCTTGTTATGCCACATTAGTCCATGTTATAACATCTTATAAATGTATTACTCTAATAGGCCTAATGCAAAGTTGTAGACCTAATTTGTTTTTGCAATTGATAGGCTATATGGAATATATTTCAATTATAGCCTATTTATTGTAGTAGGCCTAGTCCTTTATTATAGTAACCTTTGTTGATAAGGTCCCTTATGGAAAAAAAACAAATTAATTTAATGTGTGAACATGTGAAGTGTTCCAAAAACACATGTTTTCATGTGACAACATGTAAAACAACATGTGATAGATAACATGAAAATACACGTGAACAAGTTTTCACATGATTTCACATGTACAATTCCATGTGAAATTATGTGATTTTCCACATGTAAAATCATGCGGTTTTGCTGTAAGGGGTGTTATGTTTGAATTGAATTTCAATGTGTCTAGAAAGTTAGTAATGGAAAATATTGTAGCCCTAGTTGTGCCACATGCATAGGCTATAATTCCGATGACTACATAGTCTACCTACTGTATATAAACATGTTATCATCTCAAGTTGTTATAAAGATTACATAAATGGTGACATATCATGTATGAGGGAAAGTGTTTGGGTTGGAGAGTTCGAGTTTTACGCGTGGTCCAACTGCCTATAAACGCACAGTGAATATTGTGTGATGAAAAAAAAAATCTGCATGTTCGATAAGTGTCTACGGAAGTGTTTTAACTTACCTCGCACGCATTTTCCATGCCCGCACCGTTTTAAAAAGTGGTTTCGCCCATCGATGAATAAAACAGGGACTTTAATAGGCTTTTGTATTCCAGTAACTCCGTATACTTTCAAAAGCCGACACAAGTGTGACTCCCCTCCGTCTTTATGTAGAATACATTATAAGCCAGATTCAATGTGTAGGTCCAGAACACAGTTTCACGCTCCACTTCGCTCAGCCCGTCTACAGCTCGCCCCGTAAGCGCTCGGTGTTGGAATTTGACTCCCATTCATCAGATGTCCCCTGTGCGTTTCCTTCTGTGTAAGAAAACGACTGTTTGACTGCCATCTTCTTGCATTGCAAGCACGTTTGTAGAATATCGGTGGCTATGGGGGTGGGGTGATCCAAAAGCTGGCCACACGTTTTTTTTATTATCTTGGTTTCAGAGGAGGGGGGATCTTTTAACCTATTTTGACTAAGGGAGGGCCAACATGAAGCACAGCTGTTGGGATGTCGAGGCACATTTATTTAGCCTAGAACTGTGCAGTAGGCCGTTGAAGCAGATGTTGGCTAATACAAAGATGAGGAATAGCAGTTGATTTATTACAATATTATCACATCATTACACACACATACAAACATACAAACACATGCACTTCAGCCTAAACGAATATCCATGCACACATCTTCATGTTTGGATAGTTTTAATTAAAACAAGGGACTCTAAGATGAATGACATATGGTCTATCAAACTGGAATCATGGTTCATAGGACCTATGTGTCTGGAAATGCATGCAGTCACACACCCATGCTATGTCTGTAAACCAATGGCAGACACCAGGGCCTGTGGATGGGATATGCCTACTGCCACTCCAAATATGCCTGTAACACAAGTGCTCCCTAAGAAAGATCTGACACATAGTAATGTGATATGGGGTGTTGTCTTGTCTCTTCCTTCCTGCAGTAGATCCCTTCCCAAAAAGAGACAGTGGCAACGGGAAATCATGGCTCTTCCACAACGCCATTACCATATACTCTTCTGCTGGAAAACTGATTTAAGTAATATGACATATTTCTGAACCATCTTATGGAGTGACATCTTTTAGAGTGATTATCATTTGGGCCTACCTTCAATCAGTGGTATATGTAAATGCTGAATTTGCCTGGCGTGTTTGCAAAACAAGGGGGCAAAGGATGCTAAACCACAGATCCAGGGTTCTACCTCTGGAAGTTCATAAAGGCATTGATATATTTCATTCAAACCACCAGATGTAGGTTATCCTATATTTGAAATCGCCTACATTTTAGGGATTTCTAAACAAGCAACTGAGACAGGGCACCAGCAGGACACAAAGCATTACAGATTATGTTTCCTCTCTATTGTATTTGGAGATGGTCAGTGCTTCCAAATGATATTTTTCCTTGGATGGCACTTCAACTTTGGGGTTAGGATAGAAAGAGGAGCATTCCAAAAACATTACAGTGCAGATAGTCATTAATCACACACACACACACACACGCACACGCACAGTTTAAATCCAAAATACAATTTCTAACATAAAAATAAATGGATAGTGATTCTAAGTATATCACTGGAATGTTTGTGACGCACTTCAGCGCACGTACGGCGTCTGAAGCGCACACACGGAGTCCTAGATCACATGATCCAATGTCATAGCAGGGTTTGAAAACATGTCGCTGCACTTTACAGATGAGGAATTTCTGGAGGCATGGAAGGAATTAGATAAACCTCAGTTGGAGGGAGGATGGGAGTTTTTCACAGAGACAATGGGTGTCAAAATCTACCGGCTGTATGACAAGGTACATGTAAGTTACTGTTTTGAGAAAGGAATAGAAAGTGAAAACTGCTGTGTAAGCTTATTAGCTGTTAGCTTCGTTAGCTTGCGAATCAAAAGCCCATTCATTGTGATTATGCCGATTTGGCGTGATTGAATGACGCACTGTCATCGATATGTTGGATGTGTCTCGCATGTAGGCTATTTTCACGTTTCCATACGTTGTATTATTTTCACGTTGAAGGGGACATTTACATGAAATAGCATAACATACTTTGTAGCCCACGTTAGACTCGAGGAACTTGCCCATTGGCAAAATGCGGAAGTCGCTATTCACCATCATCAACTCAAGCGTTTTAAATGTCATATTGATGATTGAGTAAACTAGGGGAGAGTGGGGTTAAGTTGAGCCATTCAGAATGCATGTAAACATTAGTTTTGAAAACGTAGCTTGTCCAAAAAAAAAGTTGGTATCTTGGCACGGTATGGGGTAAGATGAACCGCCTACAAATTTCTGTACTGAATTAAATATTACCACTACCTATTTAAAACCATGTCTATCTTTATTTCCCAAACACAATTCAACACAATTACAATCACTTTTTTTTGTATTTTAGTCATTTTAAGCATATTTTAACACATGCTTAACACCTAACAAACACTTTGTACTTTAAAAAAAACACTTTTAACATAGGCCAGGCCCTGTTATTACCTCATATCCCAGTGATAATGCCTTGCATTATGCCTGGAAGGAAAACACTTCAATTTGCTCAACTTGCCATTGGCTCAACCTACCCCAAGGCAAACGTTTTGGACTTTATTTGGCTTCCACAACCCTCTTCCACAACCCACACAGGTACAAGGATGCACTTTCATGCTAGGTTTAGGACCTCATATCGAAGCTTATAGAGACCCCAACTGATGTAGAAAACAATCTTACAATTCTCTACTTTGGTTTAGATACAAGCAATAAATTCATTTGACTTGGTGAAAATATGTTTATTGGACCTGCTTACCATTTTTTCCATGTGGTTTCTTCCTTCACAGACCGGGCTCCAGTGATTACTTTTGTGTATGGTTTCCTAGAAACAAGGGTGGCTCAACTTACCCCACTTTCTGCTACTTATTTATTTGAGGCTATTTGTGTTCACAAATAGGCTAGAGATAGTGGGATGAATGGCACCCTCAGAAATATGCCAAATATTACGTTTTGTGCTGCGTCTATAGGGTATGGTGTGCCAAATTGTAGCCTAGAACTTTACGCATGCTCAGACAGTACCTTTTCACAGAATGCACGTTTGGTTTTTATTGAACCCCCTGCCTAACTCTATCCCCATCTCAAATTTCTGTAGAAATAATATCCTGTGCAAATCCAGGAAAAATGTTTGGGTTGCAAGTTGAAAAAGGGTGTTTCTCCAACTGGCAATAATCAGAGTCCTGTGGTATGGGAATTAGTTACATTGTAGGCGTGGTACATATTTGGAAGAGAGAACTTCTTTCATGTGCTGTTCACAGGAAACTGGACTTTATGAGTACAAAGTTGTTGGTGTGCTCGCCACCTGCACTCCAGAACTGTGTGCTGATGTCTACATGGACTTGCCCTATCGGAAACATTGGGATGGATATGTCAAAGGTAAAGAGTGACACAAACTCTCCTTTACCCTAGATCGACTTTCTTCCATTCAAACCTCTTGTCTCACTCAACCCCTAATAAGGGCCATTTATAAGACTCATAACACATTCATAAGCAACTCAATTATGTCAGTTTGGTTGAGTATTGATGACATGGTATTGCATATTAATGCTTGCTTAATATGGTGCTTATTTATGCATGTGTTATTGTTCTTATGTGTAGCCCCTTTAACTCTTACCAAATCATCTTAAAAATGCATCAGATCATGATAAATCCTGCACAGTGCACACTGCACTTGCAAGCTAGGCTAGTTCTTCACTGGGCCTGTGAGCCCAACGAAATAGTTGAAACCAATCGCCTTTCCATTCTCCTTTTCCATTCACTCCTGTTTTCTATCCCAATCAAACCAATCCATCAATCATAACCAAGAATCCCTTTTATCTCCGTTTTTATGAGGATCGCATCAAGAGCACAGGGCCCATTTGGCAGTTAATAACTTTTCTCATCTTTTGTTCTCCATTGCTTCCCCACAGTATCCAACAGGTAACATGTCTGTCCACCTGAACTTTAGCCATAGACTGTAGCTATTGATGTCGTAGTTGGGTAGTTAGCACCCTGGTATAGCCATAGGCTAATGTTGTTGTGTCCTTTGTGTATTAACGTGCTTAATCCAATGTTCATATAAGCCTAGACTGTGTGAACAAACAAGGGAACTTGAAGATGTTCTTTCAAGGGCTTGTGTCTTGAAAATGTAGTTTTTTGTTTCCTCGACCCTATGAGAAATGACCAACAGGTTCCATCTTAACAAGGTAGGCCTAAATCATTGGCCATATTTTGTTTTGGGATTTCCAAATACTGTACGGTTGTCCTTTTCAAGAAGAGACACTAGGGATATGGATATCTTGGAAATGATAACAAACTGAAGTAACACATTTGCCTCTCCCAGAGACTTGTTGCGTGAGAGGGTGGAGTGGGCTTTTTATTGGAAACACATCCTTGGCTTCAGCTCTGGACTGCCGTCAAGCTTTTTGCTGTTGAATAAAATTGCCATTTCAATAGATTGGATAGATGCTGTATTCTGAAAGTGCTGTTGGTGTCTGTGCTAGCATATGTGATTTGTATCTTGACGTGTGCTGTACATTCTTAGAAAAAAGGTTTCCAAAGGGGTTCTGCAGTTGTCCCCATAGGAGAACCCTTTTTGGTCCCAGGTAGAACTATTTTTGGTCCCAGGTAGAAATATTTTGGGTTCCATGTAGAACCCTCTGTGGAAAGGGTTCTACATGGAACCCAAAAGGGTTCTACCTGGAACCAAAATGGGTTATTCAAAGGGTTCTCCTTTGGGGACAGCCAAATAACTCTTCTAGAACACTGAGCACCTTTTTTTTTCTACAACCAAAAATATGTTTTATTTAATCATGTTATGAATAGTATATGATATTATAGTATAATAGATGATTGATGTTTTATGATGTAAACACTGCTTAATTTTGTGTGTTTGCAGAGCTGCATGAGAAGGACTATGACGGTCGTTCAGCAATCTACTGGGAAGTGAAATACCCGTTTCCTCTTTCAAACAGAGACGTATCCTTAATGAAGTACAATTTCTAAATAAATAATACCTGTAGATAATATCAGGTCATCATGTTTCTCAGTAAAAGCAAATAGCTTTTTTTTTTTTTTTACAAAATACATGCTCCCTATACAATATCACATTATCCTGTTCTATGTATTCACCCACCCACAATGTCTCAAGCTTGGTTTTCTCTCTCTCCCCCTTTCCACATCTACAATGGGTCCGAAATGGTGAAGTGAAACCAAGTATGGTTTATAGTATTAAGAGGAACGGAGCAATGAATTGTTCTTTAGGCGACAACATGGGAAGGTATATTTTCTCAAGGAGTAACAGATCCAGTCACATGGTGTGGACCACATTAGACCACATTATCTCTCCCAGGCTTCTTTAACAGTGTAAACCTCAGTACGTGTACGTCAGGGAGCGGAGGGACATTGACGTGGACGGCAGGAAGATCTGGGTGGTCCTGGCTAAGAGTTCCCCACAGTCCCCGTTACCAGAGAAGAGTGGGGTGCAGCGAGTGAATGACTACAAGCAGACTGTGGCCATGGAGAGTGATGGTGCCAGTGGCACTAAAGGTACTGCTCACTCAAGAGTACACAAGATACAATCAGAACTCATCCCTGTAGTACCATTTTAAATGTCCATAGGGGAAACTGTTCAGTTGTGAACTTGAATCTGTTGTGGATCTGTCTGTGAAGTCACTTGCTTTTTATTGACAGCCATGCACATTTGCATTCTTTTCTTTCAGTCTTCATGAATTACTTTGATAACCCTGGTGGTAATATTCCAACCTGGCTTGTGAACTGGGCAGCTAAGGTGAGTTCAGACCTGAGTGCCTCTATACACTCATAGAAAAAAAGGTGCTATCTAAATCCTAAAAGGGTTATTCGGCTGTCCCCATAGGAGAACCCTTTTTGATTCCCGATTGAACCCTTTTGGTTCTAGGTAGAACCCCTTTGAGTTCCATGTAGAACCCTTTACACAGAGGGTTCTACATGGAATCCAAAATAGTTCTACCTGGAACCAAAAAGGGTTCTCCTATGGGGACAGCCGAAGAACCCTTTTGGAACCCTTTTTTCTAAGAGTGTAGCAGCTCATCTTTTTCTGTTGGTGGGATGGCTGACATATTCATAGTAGAGTAATAATAAAGGAGTACTATATAATTATTATGAAGACTGTTTGTTTACTCACATGTATATCTACCGTAATTTTCAGACCATAAGCCGCGCCTTTTTTCCCATTTTTCGACCCTGCAGCTTATATAACGGTGCGGCTAATCTATGGATTTTTACAGCTAACGGCCACTAGAAGACCTCCTAAATCTATGGATTTTACAGGTTACAGTCCACCAACTTTAACTCTATGGGCTCTATGACCGGTCCGCGCCCCCCACCTTTAAGCGGCGGGCTCCAGCAGGAAAAGCTGGAGGCCGGAAAAGAGTGAGACAGGTAGCGCGCAAAAGTGAAAGTGGAACCGAGAGTGGTACGAGAGACAGAACGAGAGACAGAACGAGAGCAAGACAGACAGACATTACGAGAGCGAGACAATTTGTCTCTTTCCCGACAATCCCCTCTGTGCACGAACCCTTACATATGGTAATTAAACATTAAAACACCTGCGGCTTATAGTCCAGTGCGGCTTATATATGTACACATCATTCAATATCATTCAATTTAGCTGCTGTGGCTTATACTCCGGTGCGCCTTATAGTGCGGAAAATACGGTACTTGCCAGGTTTGAATGCCCCAGAGCATGCCCTGTTATCTCATATGGAAGGCTTTATTCACGCTGTTAATCGCAAGCAGATGTTTTGTGTTATGATGCCAATGGTTCCTCTCTGTTGCCCCATTTGGGTGTGTCTACTCTGCTAGTCTATCCATGACGTTCATTGACAAAGACAGCTATTCCCTGTGTTTCAACAGAGCGGAGTGCCTGCCTTCCTTACAGACATGCAGAAGGCCTGTGGCAATTACTCAAACTACTGCCAGAAGAACAAGAAATGAACGCCCTTGGTGGGAAGTCGCCTCAACGCCACAAGGATTGTGCATTTTTCAGGCCATCGTTCAATAAAGTTTACACTTACGGTGTCATAATGTTTTTATGATACTTTGAGGGGCATTTTGGATGTTTTAGATATGGTTGGGGACTTATTACGAAGTCAATAGGTGAAAGTGGTGTTGGGGGAAATCTGCAGCTGCATGTGTTACTGACTGGGGCATGTACTGTATTTTAAAGTTGTTTATTAGTTGTTTAAAATATATATTTAAATTAAAGTTATCTGGTACTGAATTCTTACTCCAATGTAAATGTTGCATTTTGGGCTTGCCCACAGTAAGGGCTTGGATGAGATCTGTATTGATCTACCCTCTGTTTTAACGAGTACTGTGTTTCTGTTTGACGACAATGGCTTTTCCTTTTACTTTGCTGTTGTTTCTTATGGTCTAATGTACGTTGTTGTTTTTTAAAATCCTACATTTTTTTAAATGTATGAGTCAATGAATTATATGTATTTTTGCACTTGTGATTAAGCACTGAAATCAAATCAACTTCCAAACCTTAATGTCTAAAGGAAAACATACATTGCTGTAATTATACTGTTCATCAGCCTATTAATTAGTGAATTTAATTAGTGAATTATTAGTTTCTCAGCAGCTCTATTGAGGAATGATTTCTGTACTCTACAATGCAACATTGTTTCTTAGGCAGGCAAGGCAGCTATGGGAGCTGGCTGAATCAGAAAGACTAGATATTTATTTATCTTTTGTATTTCCCTAATGGACATTCTGAATGTACATAGGACATTTCTTTTTTTTTTGTATCATTAAAAGTTGCCAGCACTGATTTGTTGTGATCCTTGAAATGTACAAAACACAATAATGAAATAGTGAAATACTTTAACTTAATTATTCATATTTTGATATTTTCTTTCAGGATATGATCATGGCAGCCTAGCTGAAAACAACTAACCCATATCCCATATTGTTATCAAGTAGCAATCTTGGGGAACTAGGCCTATTCCTCTTTACCATTGTGTGGTTACAATTAGGCCTATAGTTCTATGGAGGTGATACAGTATGTATTACTATCTAATAAATACATGTCAATAAAATGACGGCTGAGATGGAGCACTACCTCATGCATTATTTTACTGAAACCTGTACATGCTTTTCAATACAGGACTATCACCTTCATTGAACACAATTTTCAAAAATTGTCTTTTCCACCTTTTGGCGTTGACCAATGAAATTAATTGTTTCTGTGGCTCGCGCTCCCCCTTGCGGAAAAATGATATGTTCACGCTGCGCGGCCATGATGTTGCGTGATGAAGTTGATATACATTACTTGACCTTTCAAATTTGATACAATGTAGGCCTACTTTGCAAGTTGTATCTTAAAATTCGTCGACAGCATAAAATCTGCGAGAGGCCTGAAAAACGGAACCTCATGAACAGTGATGGTGATGAGTATGGTGAGTCCTATATAATTTGGCTGGCTACAGGTGGTATAGGAGCCTAGTTGTAATGAGGCTATGTTATTCTCATAGGCCTACTGGAATTAACCTGTTTAATTTGTAGGCTACTGTAGGTTGTAAGAAAGTGGACCCTACCTTCTTGTCAGGGGGGCGCTAACTGCGAAGCATCAGTAGTCAGCCATGATTGAGCTGGAAGATGGGGGTATTTATTTACAGGTGTAGAGGGTAAGATGGACCCATAAATATTTACATGTTGACGAACAAGACTGACAAACAGAAACATTACAGATTACAGATCAACTAAAGGGCCCAAAATACTGAAGTTACTGGCTTCTAAGGCAGAGCGCCTTCAAACTGGCAGGCGTCTATAACTTTGACAAAGCGTCAATAATTACTCACACAGCTGAGTTCCAGAGAACCATAGAACAGACGCTCTTATCCAGAGCGACTTACATGAGCAATTAGGGTTAAGTGCTTTGCTAAGGGCACATCGACAGATTTTTCACCTAGTCAGCTCGGGGATTAGAACCAGCGACCTTTCGGTTACTGGCACAACGCTCTTACCCACTAAGCTACCTGCCGCCCCATTACAGTGAAATGCTTACTTACAGCCCTTAACCAACAGTGCATTTATTTTTAACAAAAAAGTAAAAATAAAACAACAAAAAAAGTGCAAATAGTCCGGGTAGCCATGATTAGCTGTTCAGGAGTCTTATGGCTTGGGGGTAGAAGCTGTTGAGAAGTATTTTGGACCTAGACTTGGCACTCCGGTACCAAGTCTAAAAATGTCAATCCTGGCTAAAATGAAATGAGCAACATGAACAGGTTCCCAGCAAACACGTTACATAACCAAGACCAACCCCGACGTAATGGATTGGTAATTATTGGTAATGTCTAGACATTACCTTCTCACAACGTTGTGGAACGTTGTGGCTACATAATCTGAAGGTAATAACATTACCACCGCATTTGGTCATCTAGAGCCCCCACACAGAGAATGTCACAGTATCTGCGGAGTATGAAACATTCTGTGATCACAGCCTATATGAGCTGTGGAGCATGCATCCTCAAATGTCTTTTGAATGAACTACACATTTATAGAGGTTTGGGTCCATTTATTGTTCAGATTGGTTTTTAAATCTCCCTTTAGTTGTTTTTTTATGCACCCACACATTTGGAAATTTCCCTAAAACAAATTGGGCATATACTGGATTAAATAGCATGGTCAAATAAAATAAATATATATACATTTTATGTATTTAAAATTAATGAATGATATACACTATATATACAAAAGTATGTGGACACCCCTTCAAATGAATGGATTCGGCTATTTCAGCCACACCCGTTGCTGACAGGTGTATAAAATCGAGCACACAGCCATGCAATCTCCATAGACAAACATTGGCAGTAGAATGGCCTTACTGAAGAGCTCAGTGACTTTCAACCTGGCACAGTCACAGGATGCCACCTTTCCAACAAGTCAGCTCGTCAAATTTATGTCCTGCTAGAGCTGCCCCGGTCGACTGTAAGTGCTGTTATTGTGAAGTGGAAACGTCTAGGAGCAACAACGGCTTAGCCACAAAGTGGTAGGCCACACAAGCTCACAGAACGGGACCACCGAGTGCTGAAGCGCGTAGTGCGTAAAAATCGTCTGTCCTCGGTTGCAACACTCAGTACCGAGTTCCAAACTGCCTCTAGAAGCAACATCAGCACAATAACTGTTAGTCGGGAGCTTCATGAAATGGGCTTCCATGGCCGAGCAGCCGCACACAAGCCTAAGATCACCATGCGCAATGCCAAGCATCAGCTGGAGTGGTGTAAAGCCATTGGACCCTGTAGCAGTGGAAACGTGTTCTCTGGAGTGATGAATCACGCTTCACCATCTGGCAGTCCGATGGACGAATCTGGGTTTGGCGGATGCAAGGAGAACGCTACCTGCCCGAATGCTTAGTGCCAACTGTAAAGTTTGGTGGAGGAGGAATAATGGTCTGGGTTTTTCATGGTTTGGGCTAGGCCCCTTAGTTCCAGTAAAGGGAAATATTAACTCTACAGCATACAATGACATTCTAGACGATTCTGTGCTTCCAACTTTATGGCAACAGTTTGGGGAAGGCACTTTCCTGTTTCAGCATGACAATGCCCCCGTGCACAAAGCGAGGTCCATACAGAAATGGTTTGTCGAGATCGGTGTGGAAGAACTTGACTGGCCTGCACAGAGCCCTGACCTCAACCCCATCGAACACCTTTGGGATGAATTGGAATGCTGACTGGGAGGCAGGCCTAATCGCCCAACATCAGTGCCTGACCTTAATAATGCTCGTGGCTGAATGGAAGCAAGTCCCCGCAGCAATGTTCCAACATCTAGTGGAACACCTTCCCAGAAGAGTGGAGGCTGTTATAGCAGCAAAGGGGGGACCATCTCCATATTAATGCCCATGATTTTGGAATGAGATGTCCACATACTTTTGGTCATGTAGTGTATCACCTTTGCAAGGCATATGAACTAACAGGTTAAAGAGCAAACAACACAATTATCACAACACATACTGTGTCCCCTGTAGCTCAGTTGGTAGAGCATGGCGCTTGCAACGGCAGGATTGTGGGTTCGTTTCCCACGGGGGGGCTAGTATGAAAAAAATGTATGCACTCACTAACTGTAAGTCGCTCTGGATAAGAGCGTCTGCTAAAATGACAAAAAATGTAAAAATACTGTAGGCTTTAATAGGGCTTTTTTTCTGGCTTGGCTTCCCCAGTGATTTTACCTACGCACCGCTACTGGTCACTGAGACCAGAGAGTGCCCCCCTCCCACCCTCACTGTGTCCCTCTCTCTGACGTTTCACTTCTGCTGACCTGTCAGCGAACTGGGCATTGTTCTAGATGTTTCCTGAGTGAAAATGGTGCTGGCTTCCTATGAGATCACCACCTCCCAAGTGTCATTGCTCTAGGCCTAGGATATCTTGTGTGAAAGCCCTCCCATCAACCCCAGAGAGAATAGCTTTGTCTTTGCCATTACGTTCCCAAAGCACTGTCCAGGTAACTTTCTAGTCATCGGCATATAGCCAGTTATTAAAATCGGAATGTTTTGTTGTCCCTTTGTCAGGCGTTTAGCCACTCGCATGTACAGTAGACTACAGTGCACACAACATGCTATCTATAACCTTTGATATTGATTCTTAGGCTATTTGCCATTAAGGAGTTACAGAAAAATGCAATCATGGAATCACTACCCACTGGGCAAACACTGGTTGAGTCAACGTTGTTTCCAGGCCATTTCAATGACATTAGGTGGAACCAACATGGAATAGACATTGAATTGATGTCTGTGCCCAGTGGGTATTGTTTAATCATCAATGGAAAGTGAAGTAGGGCCTAGGGCTCACTGATTTCACTGTGCTGGAGATTGACCACTTATTTGGTTCTTCTCTTCTCCCTAGAGGTCTGTGGAGTGAATAGTAGAACTTTGAATGAACATAATCTGCAGTGAGGGTCCGGTCTCAATTTTGTCTCATTACTTCTTTCAGCCCTGAGACTATCAGGAAGTTCAAGGAACACATTTGTGTATACAATTCATATCTCAATTTGATGCATGAATACTTTACTGTCTTAATTACACTACTGAATTCCAATTCCCTCTATGGGCCACAAAGCATAGGCTTGCATTAGTTATTTTCATTGAGGAATCAAAGGCACATTTCAGTACTGGCAATGTAAGTGACGAGTCAAGAAACTTCATAGCAAATAGAGCTGAATCCATTTACGAGATAGTAGTAGGTCGATGACTTTGGAATTAGATTAAGGTCTTTGAATCTTGGAACAGTTTTTGAATGATTTTCTATGCATCCATTCTATTTAGGTGGAACTGAATTATGAGAGTATTGATAAAAATCAGAGCCTTACATTTCTATTTTTATGCAACGTTTTATCCGCTGGAATTTCTTGAGTGAATAATATTCAGTTCTCAAAAGGGTTCTTTCCATTGCCAGTCTTTCACAAATGGAAGACAAATATATTTCTTGGCTAGCCATTGTATTTTAGAGGGGGGTTCTTTTGATTGGTAATATACAGGGCTAATTAGCTTAAGAAAGTGATATACTTTTTCTCCTGGACTCCTGCTTCTCCTAAAAGTCAGCTCAGATTTCCCAGGTGCCTTGCTGTCTGCCAGAGGTAACACAATAATGGCTCTGCTTGGAAATGTATTTTTTCAACCTCCTTTTTGGTGATTTTTAATAGATTACAATTATAGATATCAGTGTGCTCTGGGAATCGGAATCCTTGATCCTGAATAGGCTTTTATATGATTTTATACAGTGTTATGCAAATCAACTGTAGTTCAACTCA